CCGACTGATGGCAGCAGACACGGTGAGACTGAGTACGTTTGCAAACACGCGAAGCCGGCAAACTGAATTATATTCAAAGGGCTCGATGCTCTGCACTGCGAGATTGAAATGAACATTTGCCGATCAGCGCGATATTGCACATATCATTAATGGCTTTTATTTGCCGTCGGCTCGAAATGAAGTTTGTCGTTGACAGAGGATAAAAAAAAAAAAAAGCTTTCGTTCGATGTTTTGGGTTACCAGCAGGAACGAGGACAATATTAGCTGTATGAAAGCCATAAATCAGTCGTAAAATCGGTGGTGCGCATCGGCTCTTTATTAAAGTGCTCAAAACAAATCCGATCGATGTTGCATTTTTTTTTTTTTTTTTTTTTTTTTTTCATTTTGTAGACCATTTTTTATCGTCAATCACTTTTAAAAGTATTTATTTACCCGTGAGTTTAATAGTTAAAAGTAGCACAATAAATTATTATTTCACTTTACGCTTTGGTCTTCGACGCTTTTGGTGTATTTTATTTATAAAAAGTAGGTGCTTAAAAATAAAGCTGTCAAATAATTAATTTCTGAGTTTTTAGATGGAGCCGGAAAAGCTCTAATTGCGTTTAATTTCAATCTGGATGGGGCCAATTTGGTTGCTATATTAAAGCCTGTAATTTAAATAGCCAAGAGATATTTTTATACTTGCTTTCGTATTAAAGGAACGGTAGTCCGATTAAATTAAACATATTTTTGTCTTCTCACCACAAATCACTACTTTTGTTGATTTCCCTCGAGCCATTGGATTTAAAATCTAATTAAATTGTACAATCTTCCGTATTTGTTTTTATTTAATAAGTAAAAAATGAAAAGCTTCTCTTACCCACACTAAGTAACCAATGAGAGCGGCAAAAATGGCAATCATCACGCCATACGTGGTCGGCAAGATTTCACTGGCACTGAGTTCTTGGGTCATACTTAACGGATACGACGTATGTGACGATACTCCTCAACATTTCTCACTTGCCGGTATACGTCGTTTCACGCCAAGCTTCGGAGTACTTGCTCATTCACAAGGAGTAGTCATCCAAGTGCTCATGTTACGCATGTTTTTGCAAATCATAGAAACACTAATACCAATAATACCCAACATCAATATCAGCTACACGCTTTAAACTTGTTTTTTCAACAAATACACTACCACGCAATTAAAAAAAAGCTGACTCTACACAACCCCGAGCTTCGCTGTTTACCTCGTGCGCTTGCGTAGCTGCACTGGCCGGCAACAGTATAGTAGCATCAGAGAGATACCGATTCGCGGGCGTCCTTCTATTTTTGAAGCAAGGCTGGCCGTAAGGTTTAAGCTTCAAGTTTCGCGAGCTCTCGATACAAGCCCCTCGTTATACTTTTCCGGCTGACTCGTTAGTGCCTTTTTGAACCTTTTGTGAATGCTTATTGTACAAAAAAACACGCATCTGATGTTTACCGTTTTTCTAAACGTAATTTAATGGGCTCGTTGATTTGAGATAGTCTTTTTTTTTCATGGCAATGACGTACAGCATTTAGCACGCAATGTAAGTATACTTGATAATTATACTTTTTCATTACTGTGAATATAAAATGTAATTAACGATATTTATTAGGTTTTAAATTTCATCTGAAACTCGCATTATCCTAAAATTGTAATGTACCGTAAAACTATCAATGGAAGCAAATTTTAAATTGAATTCAGTACTAAAAAAATATATTTGTTCTAAATACTTGAGTAGAACTTTTATTATTCAAGTTGCTATATTAAAAGCACCACGTGCCACAAAGATTCGTGAAGATGCACTCATACACGCGATCAAAGTAGTAAAAAATAGTCAACAAAGTTGAGAAAAAAAAAGCGAGTTTTCGAAGAAAATTAGTATTAAATATCGAAGTATTGGAAATACTTGTACAACATCACATTAAATATAATACGTGATAAAGATCGAAAGGGGTTGGGCGAGTGTATGGACATAATGTATAACGTTCTCAGGGCCAAATTGACCTGACCGCATATCCCTTTATAGTTTAATTGAGCGACCGTTCCCGCCTACCCAAACCCACTGAGGCACTGAGCATATTGCACCGACTCGTAGACCTTCGTCTTCTCCGAATGCTAAATTTATAATCAGATTGTGACTACCCGCTCAAGTGCTTGTGCATTAAGCCCCAACTGTATACCTACGCCCTCCCCCTAGTCTTTTGATATCTCCAGTGCATGGGGATGCATTAGGAAGACGCGTGTCAAATTGGGCGTGGAAAATCGAATTGAACGAGCACGTCTTCGCTTCTACCGAGAAAATATGCGGGTTTTGGAGGTAAATTTATTTTGTGGGTTTTTCACTCTCTTTCTGAGGATCAATTTGACGTAATGAAAACGTTATCGTCTACGCAAAAGGTTTTTGTTTGTGTACTGCGGTATATTCGTTATATGTTTTCATTATAACGTACAGTAAATTTTTTTGATGTTATTTTGTTACTTTTTCATTCGAAAAAGGCACGAAAATGTTTGACGAGTATTGTGTCATGTAAAATACATTGCTCGTTAAATATAATCGCCCGTCGACTGTATGATTGAAAAAAGGGATCGCAAGGCCGGAAGCAAAAGCCAGAAATATATATTTGATGAGGATTTAATGGAAAAATGTTTTTCCCTGCAACGAATCACCGTATACCTTTTCGACTGAGTAATGTGTGGGTGAAAAGAAAAAATAACGAGAACCGTACAGAGGCCGGGTTTTACAAAAGCCCCCCGTTAATTGGAATTTCAAAGTCAGAATGGATGGAAAGAGGGGGAAAACAAAGGAGTCGCGTGTGCATGTATAAAAAGCACGCGGTAACCGAAAAAGAGATCAAAGGGTGAAGGGCGACCATCAATGATGTATTTTTTTTCGTTGTACAACGATCGAGCAGTATTTGAAGAATCAAACGCTATACCACGACACTCCCACGAGAAAAAAGCCACTTGTAAATACTGGCATCGCTCACGACCCGGAGCGCGTAATTTGGGTTAAAAGGGAGCGCGAAACGTCGCGTAGGCGTACGAGTGGGCCTCCAATTTCACGATTTTCTAATGTCATGAGAGTACGGGGTGGGGGGGGGGCAAGAGTTAAAGCTGTATTGCACAACCGAGGCCTTGACTGCGTTGGCCCGATTACCGCTGGTAAACACCAGAGGAGGAAGTGTAGGTACACAAATCTCGAGCTCTGCCGTAAACTTTTTCGCGTCTACCTGAGCTCTCGAGGACAGCGGCTGGTTAAATATTTTCTGGCTACGACAAGTACAGCGCGGCAATGCTAGTTTTGAAAATAACTGCTGCTTTTCGCGATGCGCCAACACACACGCTATCGGTCAATTGATTAATTATGAACGTGGGAAGGAGAAAAAGAGGAGGGAAGTAATTTCGGTGATCAACGTTAACGCGATGGCAAAGGTTGGAAATGAAATCAAGTTCGCTGATGGATTTCCAGTTTTGACTCTCCGGTACGTCGAATTTAATTAAAATTATCGATCGGCAGGTTGACCGTTTCATGTATATTTCTGTCACTTCTCGCCCTCGTTAGAGCTATACGTTAATTGAAACACGGAAGTTTCATTCTATCCGACCGAGAGCCAAGACGAGTGTCCCCGCGAATGGGGAAATCTATTTTTAAAACCGGAACTCATTACGCTCTTGTTTTTCCAGTTGAAGGACCAAAAAACTCATCAAAAGTGACGAATTATATCATGTAAATTCGAGGCTCCACATTGGTAAATGAAGACACTGCAACAGGGGAGGGGGGATTCAATTAATATAAAAGTTGTACCAAGATTTTCGGATTGGTATCGAATGTGAATAATATTCAATTTCGTGAGCGGGTGTTGGCAGTGATCGATTTATTGTAAAGTTATTCAATCTCACCTATTGGTATGATTCAATTGACGACGGTAGCGAAATCACTTATTCTTACCCAAATAAAAAAAAAAATGCCTTTCAATTTCTATTCAGGAAATAACGATAGCGTCTTCAGGAATCTCGACTCCACTGTCAACTTCACTCCTCTCGTATAAGTATACGCGACCTGTCGGAACTGAAAAATGAACGGCAAGCTACCAGAGATCTTGGCGGCGCTGTGCAGGTATCGATAGCCAGACTGTAGATTTTACATGTAAAAAGCAAAAGGAGAAGAAGACGATGAGAATGGAAGGTTGATGGCTTTTTATCTGCAACATCGAGAGAGGGTTCACGCTCTGTACACGCCCCTGCACAGACTGAATGGAATAAAACGCATCATCCGTGAAAGAGGCCTAGGGCCTTGAGCCATTATTCGTTTGCTCGTCGCGTAACAGGTGCTTTTCGAGAGTCAATTTTTCCACAAGTGCAGCGCTCCGTTTCTCACGCGTCGTAAACAATGTAGCGTCCCCGGTGCTTGTGATCCAGATACTCGATCGTCAACGGAGTAATAAATCTCGAGTTTTTCATAATACCCTGCGACCATTGCAATCATGGCCTATATGATCTAACAAGAACGACTCGGTAGTGCCTATAAAAGAGGCAAAAGAGGGAAAGGGAGCTCTAAAAATTTACGAGCACCCATAAACAGGCCGACGACCTCCACCTACTGTGTCCTTCCAAAGAGAGAGAAAGAAAATTAAGTGCCAGCCCCCACCAGTTGAGGTGCGAGATCGCCGAGTCGATGTTTCAAAGTCGTAGGTGACTCGAGATAGACTCGGAAAATAGAGGGCAAGGCTACAGAGAAGCCTGTCCGTGTCCTTTAACGGGAGTTGATCAGTAAGATTTATTGCACGCACTGCAGCGGCAGGTGATAAAGGTCTCCCACTCGTCAGTGGGGTGAGATAGTATACGAGGGTACGCAGGATGTATGACTCCTGATGGTGAAAAGTTGCAGGGAGAAAAAGCTTCGCGGCAAGTTACCTTTGTGGATCGGCCGAGGGTATGGTGAGCTTACGCCGAGCTTTCAAAGCGTGTAGCGGTAATCGATCATTTTACCGACTGCTGATAACGTAGATCTCACAATCAAGGTACCTGCTTTACCTACTGTAGGTACATAAAATGTGGCAAAATTTGAATAGAGTATAACTGCTGTAGGAAACTCGTGCTTGTAATTTTTTCAATCTCCATCCTTTGTAAAATCATGATTAAGTATTGAATACGTGCTTTCTGTTAAATTTTTTGTATTTTTAGAATACATTAGTATCTAATCCAGTGCAAGATATAACAATCGAGAGAGAAAGAGAGATGAACTGTTTAAAGAAAAAGTATAGACAGTTCATTGAATTTTAATCGAGGTGCAAGGCACGGGTCAACGCTCGCACGACAATGTAGCTGTGGAACCTTAATGAGCACGCACCTATCAGGATATCTACTATATAATATGTAGACGCGAGAAATCAAATCAGACAGAGAGAGAGAGAGAGAGATAGGGAGAGATGGGGCGAGGGAGATACAAAGTTCCCGGGCTAATTATCATTTCCCAAGTGCACAGGAGCAGTAGCGCATCAGCCGACCTGTCAAGAGCACCGCTCACTCCCACACGAGAGCTGCTGCTGTACCGGTAGAACAACAAAGATAAGAGGGAACGGAAGGGGTGCGAAGTATGTTTATATGGACGAAAAAAAAAAAAAAAAAAAAAAAAAAAAGAAAAGAAAAGAAAACAAAGAAGAAAAGAAGAGAGATGTACAGGAGAGAGAAAAGGAGCGAGGAAGCGGAGAAAAGAGCAGCAGCCTTCCGACCTCGGAACAGAGCCGTGTAGGTATGAGGCAGGTATACAATATATATATCACCCATGAAAAAGCACTACTCGTTTTTCCGGCGTGCTCGCAAACTCCTGATAAAAACTCAGTGAGCGTATATACGCGAAGGACTCTATACCATCAGAAACAAAAGTGCATCTTACGGATACCCATAACGAAGGGAGAGACCTGTCATCGTTTCTCGTGACGCAGTCGTGCCGGTGTTTGGGAAACACGGAAGAACGAGAAAAGGGAAACAGGTTACTTGGGCTTGCCGAGCACGAGCGCGTGACGTACACTGTCACTCACTCACTGTACGATTTTTGTACAAGCTAAGGGTATACACGCATGTGTGAGCGAGAAATCGAACTTCACTGTTCTGCAAACTTACGTGCAAGAGATGTATTTAATAAATGGCTTTTTTTTTTTTCTTTACGCATACGGGAAAAGTTTCGGAGGGAGGTAAGGGCGGCAAGTTTTCGGGGCCAATTGGATTAATTTCGCGTCTCGCTGGCCATGGAGATCGAAGGAGCTGATGAAGATATATAACAGCTGCCGTGGGTCGCTCTGGTCACGTGTGTATATATACGCGAGGGGGTGGCTATATTGAGCCTTCGAGACTACATTTACGTTTCTGTTTGGCTTTTCGTTATTAAAATTATGCACGTTTGTATACGTGCACAGGCGTTCATGTGCGCTTCCCCCAAGTTTCAATTAAGGGGAAAAGTTTTCAGTGAGATTTCAGTGAATCGATACTCATCTTTATCACGGGCAAACGCTAAATAAAAAGTGTTTCAGAAAATGAAATAATTTCATGGTAACCCAATATTATTAAATTAATATTTAATGCGATTCCTCGCCGTATAATCATGCATTACAGTAGTGCAAGTTAATGACATTGAAATCGAGTGTTTTATCCAAATGAAGTCACGCGATCAGGATAAGTATCACCTGTTGCTGTTGAAAAATGTTTATTGGTGCATTAAAAAAATTACGTGGTGCGTGTTATTATATTTACCCTTGACTTGCTCGAAGCACATTTGAATTTATATACGCGCGAGAAACACTGCACTCAAGGCAGCTCGTTACTCTTTTATTGACTAACAATCCCAGAGTTTTTCTCACCACTCTTTTTCATAAAAGGCACAATGTCCCATCAATTTAAATTATTCACATGTATCGTGTATCTACGTAAAAAACTACATCAACACGGGAAAGTAAGTACATAGTTGAGTGAAAGCTCAGTTACAAGGTACTATTGCCAACATACTTTTTTATAGTACAAGCTAATTATATTAGAGCAACTTAACGCGTGCCTACACTGTTATTATATATATATATATATATATATATATATTTATTGTTTTGTGATGCCCATACGCATAAGGAGGAGGATTAAAATCACTCCGGTGCATCAAGCTGCAGAAATAAAAACACACATCATGAAAGTTGAAGAAAAAGTCCAACTCGAGAAGATACAGTTTGCCGAGACTCACCGTAAGTTTTTAGCTCACAATAACCAAATCAAAGACACACTTACCGCGGAGTTGGTGCCGGTGACTCTCGGTGCCTTGACGACGCTGTTGTTGGGGCTCCCGATCATCACACTGCCATCGGCGTCGACGTCATCCCCACTCTCGCTCAACCCGAGCCCAGAAAAGGTCGTGGACAAACATCCACGCGAGCACTCGACGTCGCCGCAGCTGCAGTGCGTACCCCCGGCGCTGGTGCCACCGCCGAAGCCACCACGTTCCCTCAACACGTTGTTCGTGCTCGTGTTGGTGGTGTAGCCCTGGTCGGAGCTTGCGTTCGAGTTGGGCCGCGACTCGTCCGAGCTGTCGAACGGCTTGAGGTTGCGCGGCCGGTGGACCACCCCGATCGGCTCCCAGATCTCACTCGTCGTCGACGAGTAGCAATTGTTCTCCTTTGTCTCGCGGCTCCGCTCGTCGACGACTTTCCCGTCTCGTGCCACCGTCACCTCCTCCTTCGTTATTATCGAGGATTTCACGTTCAGCGACGTCTCCAGGCGCACGGGGACCCTTTTTGTCCGACAGTCGAGGAGAGAACAAACGCGAATCAAATGGGGAAATTGAAAAATCAGCGGGACACCTTTCAGCTTCTTGTTTCGCGCTTCATCTGCGTCGACGTATCGATGGAGTATGTGCACACGTGTGGGAATTCACGGTGAACGATCTGTACAGCTCGCTCGCGAGAGAGATGGGAAAAGGCTCGAGTGTAATGGTACGCGCGCGCCAGTGATTTACGAACCCGGCCAGATGCTCTTCCCCGGCTATTTCCCCCTCCCCCCCCCTAGCACGCTTTTGGCATGGTATTTCGGTCGTTTTATGTTTTTTGCCGCCGTGCGAAATGACGACCGTGACGTTCGCGACATCTCGTCGTCGATGATTCGCGGAATCGCGAGCGCGGCCTATTTTTCATTGAAAGTAGGGACAAAAACAAATGCGGAAGCCCCAGAAAAGAGAGTTTTATCACTGTCAAAGTGACGAGGCGACAAAATTTGTATACGATACGTGTATCACACTCGCGCAAACTTATGCGAAACGTCAGCGTGACGATAAACGCGAAGAAGTTATTGTTGACGTTCGCGGGTGTGCGCGTGACCCATACTTTTTTCTCCCCCACGGTTTTCTTCTCTTCGCGTATCGTAAATTCACGTATGCTCAATTTCACGCGTCCGTTGCCCCCGGCTTTTTACCGACTGCTCTGCTGATTTCAGAGGCGTTACTATTTTTTTTTTTTTTTTTTTTAGGCCAACAAAATTATTGAAAAGTTGTTACAAAGTGAAACCTCCGCGTAAAAATAGGTCGTTCGAGAAAATGAGGTAGAATTTTCTGTTGTCGAGGAAGAGGTCGATGCGACTGTTTAATTACATACGCGAAGGATGCTTTGTTACCATTTGCGAGACGGCAAAAATACACTCAAGATGATTGGGTTAAAAGTTAACATTGTGCTGGATGCAGTTGTGGTCTTTCGAAATGCCGTTTCGAGCATAACAATTAACGATGCGGTTGACGAAACGACAAAAACTTATAAATCAAACAATCGTTGCAATTTAATTTCCGTTAGTACATACATTTTTTGTTTTTTTGTTTTTTACTTTATTTACGAAGACAATGGTAATCATTTTTTTTCTTTTTTTTTCCAACAAACCTCCCATTGATCACCGTAAATTTGCATAGTTATTTGAACGTACCGACGACGAAATCGTAAACATTTTGCAATAAGGAGCGCAACACCGGAGCACTGGAAGTAAAAAGCTTCAATCTGCATTTCGGGGTATATGTGTATACACTTAGGCGAACGAACGATGTTCCGCCCGTGCAAAAATATACGAAGCGAAACGGACCGAGCGAAAGTGAGGAGGAAGGGAAAAAACGATCGCGAGCGAATCGAAGAAGCCGCGCGATCGGAATGCAATTTACGTTGTACAGAGCTTGCTCGCGTGAGGCTTCGGGCGACGTGGCAACAAAAATAATTTGGCGCACGCTTGTTTCGTGGTTTTACTTTTTTTTTTACTACTTCATCGGAAAAAATTTAATAGCGCGAAGCCTCTACGTGACAAAGTGATTCATTTGGGGTGCTCGGAACCGAGATATCGAGGAAGCCCTTGTTATACTCCTGCAAGTCATACAAGACGTGTAGTAATTTTCTTATGAAAAAAAAAAAAAAAAAAAAAAAACGTAAAAGTAGCTGTACCGAATAAAAAACTTTTGTCGCAACATCAAAGCCTCGAATTTCGTTCTCAATAGGGCAAAGAAACACGTACGCGACGACTTACAAATGCCGCAGCCAGATATCGGCCTCTCAAAGAATAAAAGAGCCGAGCCAAGCGATTTCCTTTATCTCTCGCGCTAGTGCTGTACTCCAAACTTGTATAAATCACAAAAACACTCGCACATCGGGTACACATGTGTCACTCGATCGATCAGTCGACGCGACAGTCGAGCGACGACGGTCGGACAGACAGCCGTCAGCCAAGCTAAAGTCCGTGGCCTTATGTACATTTTATATTATACAACTTACCTTTGAATACCGGCACGTATGAGGATGCGATTGAGGAGGTCGCAGGGCGGTACTTGGCCCGTTATCATGGCCTCGCGCATAGCCGCGCCGTCGGGCTCGTCTAGGGTTATCGGCACCCCGTTTATCAGCAGCACCTCTTCCTCTTTGACGCACGACTTTTTCTCGCAGTCGATGATCTTGACGTCCGGACCGAGGATCGATTCCACCGTCGATTGGATCTCCGAGTCGTCCATTTTCCTGGCCCTCGTTTCTTTCCTTTTCCTCTGTTTTCAAACGCGCCACGACAAATCGATGCTGTTACACATATTTACACGCGTTTGTCATCGTCACGGAGAAGCACAAGTAAAAGTTATCGTTGCGCTTGCAATGATCAAAGTAAATTTCGAAGTGACCGAAAGTCATGCGTATAAATAATGAAACAATATGGCACGTTAACTCCGACACAAATTTTACGAGGCAATAACTTATTTTACGCTTCTCTCGCTAGTAAAGCGATAAAAATCCTCGTTGGACGAATAGCGTGAGCATACCAGTTCTTTTTGTCACCTTCCACTGGTACTTTTCATACCCAAGTCAGCGTACTGTATAGTAAAAAGTGTGATAAATGTTCGTGGAAACAAGTACCTTGTTCAGCTTTGTTTGTTTTTTATCGAAATAAAATAAAAAGGATTTCCTTGAAATAAGCATAAACAGTGATCAATAAATATATTACTCTTTTTTGAGTCAGTGGCTTATTGCCATGGCATTGGGGTTTTTTTAGTTAGTCACGTAATTAGTTTGGACTGATCACCTGATTTACCGATTACTGTTTGCGTTTAAAAAACTCGAAATAACCTTACGATGATTATAATGATATATAATGATACATTCAATTGGTTTGTGATCTCGTAGCTGTAGGTGGATGTGGATATTGTCATACGTCGGTGTCTTAAAGCAATAGCCATCCTACTGTACGTATATGAAGAATAATAAATTAAAAAAAATGGCATTACTTTTATCAGTACTACGGTCAATCGTAACGAACAAGTGCAGAGTTCATCATTATGATTTCTAGGATTTGGAATTATCGATCGGAATGTTTCCTTGGTTTGTCCGTAGCGCAGTGACCCTTTGCTGCTTCACGATAAATTATATGGTCAAATACCCGTGAGCATCGTTAATAGCTTGTCTTTTTTCGCTGAATAATGCGCGTAAACGAAAAAATTTGTAAACACCCACGTATTTACAAAGGTGCTGATTCACACCTCTATCGCTGTGGGAGTGTCGTGTTTTTCATGAATTTTGTGAGGATTCCGCAAAACATCGTAAAAATCAAACAGTACGACGGATACGGAACAATTGTCATTTTTCTAGATGACCTGCCGTAAAGTAAATCTCAATGCTAAATGTATACTTTTGCGCACTCGTACACCCGTAGAGTACGCTTAGCGTCAATCTTTCAATCAAACATTTTTACACACCCCCACAATGCGAGAAAAGAATAAAAATTTCAAAACCACGCCTAATCATCCCCGATGTGCAAGACTTCGGGGTGGTCTAATAGATCCTCGGGTAAAGGAAGAAGACGCGATTGTAAATTTCTTGCAAAGTAGCCTCGTAAAAAAGCCAATCGACACGTAACACATACACTCACGCATGTATAACGCACGCTCGGTCCTTCTCTTTTTCTCGCAGCCTTGTTTTCACGCGTTCGCGCGAAAGTGGCGATCGTAAAAACGGCCTTCGCCACCGAGGGAAAGGACATAACGCAAACCCACTCTTGCAAAAATTCCACCTCCGTCCAGCACATGTATATACGTTTCTCTTTCTTTTTTTATTCGTTACTTCGCAGTTATAGGTAAGTTGGTATAGTAACCGCTGCCCTACTTCTAGCTCGCTCCTAACGTTTTTATTCCTTTCGAGTATCATTGTGGCATCGACACCGGAAATTTTCATGTACATTTGTGAGATGGGTTTCGTAGATGGAAGTTCTGTTGAGGTTTCCTCGAACGTAAAGCTACTCGGCTTGATAAGAGTTGTTTGCTTTGATGACCGAATAGTTGATCCGACAGTTGTTTCAATGAAAAATCAGTTGCTACGATAATTATGAAATTAAAGTACCTCTTTCAATTTTTATGACATCAGAGTCCTTCTTCCGTATCCAACTTTACTACATGTAGAGAAATATATCAACGATCGTTTCAAGAAAACATCTAATCCTTCCCTCCTCTGTACGTATACTGTACCGCAAAAAAAGGGAACATCCCAGTAAAATCCAAGACACTAAAAGTGAACAACTTGTAAAACAAAAAAAAAATAAAAATCAACTCTCGCCTTCGTACGCGTACAAGAGCGGGAAAAAAGGAGCGAATATTTCAAGCACCCTCGTCAACACACACATGCACCCACACAAGATTTTTTTTCCTCCCTCGCTTCTTTTTGCCCTGCTCCCTCCCCTTCTAAATTCATTAACATCCGAAGCGCATCCCCTTCGTAGAGGGCAACACTCCATCCTCCAGCATCACGGGATTCTTCCCTACTGGCTTTCCATTCAAAGTGGCTTATTAATTCTAAAATTTTTCGAGCACGTACACGTGCGGCTGTAGCGTGCAACTGCTGTACGCTCGTTAGATGCGGAAGATACGCTAAGGAGGGATACGAGAGATGCTGGAAAAGTTCGCAGAGGAAACTGAAGGGTTGGATACTTTTTTCTTTTTTTTCCGCTAGGAAGTTTGGCTGGAAGAAAAATTGTTGGAAACGCGGTCGTTGAGAAAACAATAATGCCTTGCGCTCTGATGGCTCGCAGGTGGATTTTTATATCTATGCGAACAAACGTGCGGATCTCGTTACCAAATTTGGCCCTACGGAGAGTAAGAGTTTCAGAAAGTTGGATATTTCAATTTGCTGGTGCGATTTTTATCGAAATCCTTGTGAAATGTCGATTTTTTATTTCTGTACTCGTAACATGAAACGTTGAAGCGAATAAAAAAAATATCAAGTCGTTACGTAGGTAGATATCAGTTTTCAACTGACATTCGACGATTCGGGCGTAATAAGCTTGTTTAAGAAAATAAACAATAACAAGAAATTTTCTCTGTAAGTTGGAAATCTGTAACTCGAGTTATCAACGCGTGAAAGTCAATTTTAAGTACGTTATGAAAGAAGGCATACTTTTCTAATGGTCTCTGTAACGCAGGTATTTTTAAACTTGCAAATTCAAATTTGTCTCTTTTATATGAGACTCGAAAATAGAGGAAAAAAATTGGTACCATCAATCAAATTAGAGCAATGACGTCTACTTTTCGAGTCAGGTAGAGGGCCCAATTTACCCGGGCAATTCACAAAAAGTAGGCCAATTTCCGGCTCGTCGTGAAACGCCATTTTTGCCCAAACGTCTGTACATTTTAGACGACCCGAAAAAAGCTTTCGAAAAAAAAAAATCTGCTCCTTTCGCACTGGGTCATTTGAAAAAGTTTTTAGGTTCAAAATTACCCAGTTTTCACGTTAAGTGGCAAACTTTTCTTTTACATCGCGAAGAATCATTACATTTAAAATTACAGCTTCACTCGAAAACGAGACCTTGAAAAAAAAAAAAGTGGAAATCAGGGAAAAAACAAAGATCGCGTCAGACCACTTAAAAATTATTTTTCCTCCACCCCATCAACCAAGGAGATGATTCAACCAATTAAATAATTGGATTAATTTCAAATGATTTTACAAAGCAATTTCAGCCCAACTAATTCTTATAAACGATAAGGACATTTTATTTATATTCCAACTATTTATACCTTTGCGACATATATCTGACTTAGCAGCCAAATATCACTACAGTACCATCATACCGAGCATGAAACAGCAATCCCTGAGTTGGCAAATCGCAAAAGAGGAATAACAATAAAACCGGAGCGTCACGTCCCAAGGCGCTGATTGACCCCAAGGAGCACAGGAGAGCCTCTAAAGAGCAGAGAGAGAGAGAGAAAAAGAGGGGAGGATCTGCACGCCGAAGGTACAGCAGGAGAATCGTTCACGGAGAGTGTATAGGACGTATACCAGCACTGTCGCGCGCCAAAGTGGAATTCTCCGCGCCCTCGCTTTTGCAACGACCCCATGTAGCTCTCCCTCTTCCCCGCCACTTCCCCCCATCGCCCCAGCCCCTTGATTCCAGAGTCTGTTTTTGCCGAGTTGCCGCTGCACCGCGTGGGGTCTTTGCTCTTCGAGCGTGTCCTTTCGTGGTTTATTTATCCAATGTAATTTTTAACGTTGCCCCGAGGGCGATTCGTCGACGGTTTCATTAGTTTCTTTGCTACATACTTTTGTTGATTAAATTCCACTAACGACAAAACCTCGGGATGTAATTTTACAAAATTAATACTCGTCGAATAATTCACTCTGGCGTAATGGATTCTACAGACTCGGCTTTGCGACAACATTAACACGACTTATATGCGTTAATCAATTTAATTAAATTCACCGTTTCCCCCGTAAAAACGGTTTCCATGAAATATGTACCTAAGCGTCGCTACAGGCACATATGCCAGCGACCGTCTGTACACCAGTACGACGAAACTTAGACCCAACAACCGTGAAAAGAAAAAAAGGAAAAAGTAAGAAAGAAATAGCCAAATCGCACGGCATAGGGCTCACGCCGGCAGGCTTCACGGCAAAATGATTCATGCGATCAATTTCCACCCATCTTTCTCCCTTGCAATGGTACCACCACCACAACTACAGCGCCACGCAATTCATCGATCCTATACGTATTTCTCTCCCTTCGGTTCATTTTCATCCCCCCTACCCTCTCCCTTCAACTGACGGTATACACACACACACACACACACAGCCAACTCAGCAGTATCGATCCTGCAGCTATACATTATACGTATATACAGCCGTATAAAAGCACGGCAGCAACAACCCCCCCCTTGTTTCGTATATACCCACACCCCAGTGTCATTCCCCATATTCCTTGGTTCATCCCTTCTGCTCCTCCTTCTCCTCCATCCTAGCTTCTTACATCTGCTCTCCTTAGGGAGTCCACGCTCCTTCTCCCGTCCTTTCGAACTTGCTTCCTCGCCGAGCGTGTAATATGCACAATACAGGATTTCCCGTAAACACATGTACAACGCGATACGCGTGCTTGGCCTCCTCGCTGTAAATGTGTATATAAATACGTATACACACTCGTTATAGACATAAACGTGAATATATAGGTACCTATATCGCTTTTGCATCACATGGCTCTTACCCATATATATATATACGTGCACTACA